CCATGAATCTCTGCCACCAATAACAAAAGCTTAACACGCAGTAACTTACCATTTCATAATACACATCAAAACATGATAGGAAATAGTCAAAGAAAAACTCTAAAAAATCCCATGATGTTTCATTAGCGAGATAACGATCAACAACTCCATTAAAAAGAGGCTTCTCATTATAACCCAAAAACAAAAACAAAAAATGCACTCTCATGGTTAATCTTGGCCATGCATACATACAAAACATATAAGTGCCCAGAAGAAACTATTGACTCAAAAATAGGACCACGGTTATGAATTAGCACAAGGACCCTTTCGATGCAACACAAAAGAAATACATATGGAAAGGGCTAAAAAAGGGTTAACTTGTGCTGTTTCTTGGAGCTCGAAGAAGCTGAAAAGCTTTCAGCTTTACCTGGGAGAAGGGAGACCACGGCCGAGCTGGGCTTCAAGGTCTCGGCCCCAAGCCCAGAGCTGGCCTTGGGAAGTCACGGCAAGCGAGTGGTAGTGTCCGGCGGTGACGCTGGTGACATCAGAAGGCAGAGAAGGGACCCGAATAGGCTCGTATGCGTCCACACCAAGGCCCATGAGGGAAGTGGGCAAACCCAGAGCTCCATGACTTCCGTCCCCAAAGCTCATCACAGCGCCGGTTGTGCTGCTCATACATCTCTGTAACCTTTGGATGATCACGTTCACTGCCCGAGGGCCCTTCACCAGCGATCCCACTCCTGGCATCGATTACAAATTTCATTTCTCAATCTCAATTAACTGCTGATTTTGTTCCGCAATTCTGTTAGTCAAATTTGGGCTGTTTGAGCCCAAGGGTCGTTTTGTTGGCACAGTACTTGTTCATCATGGTCCATGGGCCTTGCAACAGCACCATTAAACAAGGAGTCGTTCTTTGATGATGGTGCCATATATCGATTATAAATGTGGACTTTCATATTAGCCGCACGATTAATTTGAATAGGGACTTCACTTAAGTTTAATAAAATGATCTTACGGCTAATATGAAGATCCACATAATGGGTCCATATATAACACCCTCACTAAAGAATTTTGCTAAACAAGAAGCTCAAGTCATTGATTGAGCTGATTTGACCAGTCATTATAAGGGGTCCAATATAACTCTGCAATTAAACAGATGGCTATTAAGAATTCCCTCGTTATAAGTATAATCCTTCACTATAACCCCTCGTTACAATTTCCCTGTCCCGAATATTTGCTTATTTATGATACGAAACCAACCATGAAATGAACTCAGACTGAAAAATCAAATTATGATTGGATTGTAAGAAAGAATGACTCCTTACGTGTTACGGGGCTAAATGGGTAAACAAAATGAGTTGGGCTTGAGCAATAGGAGCATCGAGCTGGTCCAAACCCACTAACAAAACTGGATTGAGCCAGATGACTGATTTTTTCTTAAGACTAAGAGCCACTCAAAACAACAGAATAGCCGAATTTCTATTTTGGGATACTTGGGCTTGGCGGGTGGTGGCACCCATTGACATTGATCTGATTAACAATCACAGAAGATATATGGAGCGGAACCACACAGTCACACAAACCAACCCACTCGAAGAAGATGGCGATGGTTTCTATGCTCATTTCACTCCCTACCCTGACTACTCCAAACTCCTGCCGAGTCAACCGGTGGGTTAATTTCTTTCATTCAACTCGGTAACTCATCTGCTACTTGTAAAACTCACAAAACACACCCACACAGGTATTGGCAAGCACCAAAAAGGTCGTCTGCAATGGCTCTTGCAAGTGCCAACACAGAGATTGCTACTACAGGAGTGAAATTTGCAGAGGGTGAAGAGAAGTTACCCAAGGTCGTTTTGACTAGCGCTGGTGGCAGGTACATTGGATTGATTTTGTGGGTTGTTGCTGAATTCACATATAAAAATGAAAGATCGACTCTTTGATTGTGAATTTGTGAATTTGTGAATTTGTTTTTGCAGTGAGGCAGATATATATCTGTTTGGTGGTTGCATTACGTCTTGGAAAGTTCCAAATGGAAGGGACCTCCTTTTTGTTCGACCTGATGCTGTCTTCAATAAGAAAAAACCAATCAGGTTGTTTTGGATTTCGTGGGTTCATTTTCTTGACTTTCAATTTTGAAAGTAATTTGCTTTATCTGTTTTTGTTTAGAGTTGAGCCATACAAACCATTATGCTTCTTGCTATATCTGTTGGGTTTAAGCTACCGGTTGACTTTGCAATGTGTGCTAAAACGAGAACAATTTAAATGATCATTTCATTCACAAAGCTCACTTGGTTTAGTTTGGAAATGTGGTTACTTGCCTTTGTGTTTGTATGTTTTAAGCGTCTGAGTTCCTTTGAATAGTCATTTTGCCTGAAAGCTTGGGATTTTCGTCAGATACTGACTATTCTCTCTTGGGATAGTGGAGGCGTTCCACATTGTTTTCCACAGTTTGGACCAGGCGCAATTCAGCAGGTACGGTACTCTATTTTTTTTTCCGAATCCACCAGCATTGTTGCCTTTAATTGTATCTTTGGTTTTACGAGCTCAATTGATTTTAGTGGTCTATCAGATACACCGTTCTGATGAGTGCCAGCAAATTAAAAACCTAAACACTTAAACCCCGAGCAATGGCAATTGATGGATATTTTTATATATAGACTACGAAGATTTGAAGTTTGATGATAGGTTTGATAGATTTCTTGATAAAATTTACAAAATCCCACTGCTTAAATGTGATATGGTGGTAGTGAGTCTACTGACATTGTTGCCACCATTAAGGATTCCCGTCTGGAGATCCAGATCTTTGTTATGGCTGCATGATGTATATATGACTGCATTATCAGCCTTCTGCTGTTGTACTGAGGCTTGGAGATGTTTCTTCAATTAATAGCATGGATTTGCAAGAAACCTGGACTGGTCCGTCATTGATTCTGAAAATGTGCAAGGAGATCCTGCCATAACTTTAGAACTAAAGGATGGTGAATACAGTCGTTCCATGTGGGATTTCAGCTTTCAAGCTTTGTACAAGGTCAGTTGCAGATATCTCTCTATAAAAATGATGCTTGTCTAGCTCACACTGGTAATTCACTGCCACCTTGGTGTGCACCATGTTCTACACAACAATACTGTGTTAAACTACATGCACAATATTGAATTCTGCATTATGTGGATTAGGTAACAAAACTTCTAATGTGTTCCAATGATTGCAGGTCACTTTGCAAACAAAGAGCCTTTCCACCGAACTTGTAATTAAAAATACGGACAGCAAGCCATTTTCATTCAGCACCGCATTGCACACATACTTCCGCGTAAGTATAATATTCTCCCTCAGTGATTCAATTGTCATTCTGGCATAACGAAATTAGCAGTGTTGAGGACTCATTTGAGGTGGAAATGATTTAGATATTAAAAAAAGAAATTGGAATTGTTAGAAGAATTGAATATGGAAGTTAATGTAGTAGAATAAAGATAAGGAGAAATTCATATATTGTATATAATGACTTCAAAAGTCTGAAAATACTAGGAATCGTACCTCCATATGCACAGATTTTGAAATTGATTGCATTAAATGAGTGTTGAAAAATGATTGTAAATCATTATCATGCAGGCTTCTGCACAAGGGGCATCGGTTAAAGGTTTGAAAGGCTGCAAAACACTGAATAAAGATCCTGACCCCAAGAATCCATTGGAGGGCAAGGAAGAAAGGCCTGTATCATTTTCATGAAATGCTTCTATCACATGATAAAAGCAAAATGAATTCAATTCTTTCATTTTCAGTTTATTGGCTGGGTAAATGAGGTTAATGGGGCAATGGGTTTTCATAATTAAAATGCTATTATCATAGCTTATTCACTTTTCTGCAACATCTTTAGAAACCCTTTTGGCACAGATTGCTAGGCATTTCTGATTGTTATCTTAATGACACAGGGATGGGGTCACTTTTCCTGGATTCGTGGATTGCGTATACCTGGAAGCCCCTAATGAGTTGCATCTTGATAATGGCTTAGGTGACATAATATCTATCAAGAACACTAAGTGAGTGTAAATCTCTGTTTCACAAGTTTAGGTAAGATTTTATCAAAATAACTCTGTTTCACATGCTTGACACCCCTGTTCTTTTTTCTCGTGTAGTTGGACAGATGCTGTTTTGTGGAACCCCTATCTGACGATGGAAGCATGCTACAAAGATTTTGTTTGTGTGGAAAATGCAAAGGTAATAACTTCCCTGTTTCTTCAATTGTGACTATTTGAACTTGAACAAAACGGGTTTGTCTATCTAATACTGCCAATTCCGGATATAATCCAGACAGTATGTATACTCATCAGACTGCTAAATTGATTCTATTTCTGCTAACTGTAAGATGACATGTTCATTTCAGATTGGAAACGTCCAGCTGGAGCCTGGTCATACTTGGACTGCTACACAGCATCTTAGCATCAATTGAAGAGTGGCTGATCACTGTTATTCAATTTTGTAGAAATAATGTATCATCTATTTTCCTCTGAGTATTTTATTTGGTGTTATACAAAGCTTTGAAGCTACAAAACAAGTAAAGCTTACTAATAATGGGTGATCCTGTATGCTTTCATTCTGAATATAGTGTTTCCTCTCTCTCTCTCTCTCTCTCTCTCTCTCTCTCTCTCTCTCTCAATTTGCACTAGCCAGCTCCAGCTCCTCAATTCGCTACTGGATTGCTGTTAAACAAATTTCGACCGGCCTAGTTCCCAAGCAGAGTTATGGATTTTATAATTTCAATGAGCTGCATATAAATTCCTCAAAATCCAATTCCGAATCCCGAACAAATGGGAAATTTACAGAGTAGCAAAGATGTAGCACTGTCATGTTTATGCACATAGGAAGAAACCAAATAAACTGAAGGGAAAAATAACTAACCAAAACATAGTTTGAAATTCTCAACTCAATTAAGCAAATCTAGTTCATTAACATTCTCTGTCGATTAACAGAACCTCAAAATACATAAAGAGAAGTACTCTTCTCAACCAACAAGCAACAGCCAATAAAGCGGTAGATAAACTACTCTATGAGCTCAGAAAGCTCAGGAAATATTCACAGACCCCTGAAACCCCTCAACACTATCATCCACTTCAGTTTTTAGACCCCATAAAAAATTCTGACTCTTCTGTTCAAGACGCCAGCGTAGAAATGACACAAACCAGAAGTATAATCAGAACCACAGCCCAAACCCAATAAACCCATTTCTTACTCTTCTTCTTCATCTGGCTGGCATAGTAAAGGCTGTTTGTCCCTCCATTGATAAAATAACTTGCATTGGCCACGTTCTCTTCAATATTGTCAATGTCTTCACCTTGTGCCTCAACCAGAACAGCCATGTCAAGAAACACCTGATGAAGCTTGTTCAGGCTTCTCTGGATATCCATGACTGCCTCATGTCTAACTTTGTTCCCCATATCCAATTCTGTCTTCCCCTCAAACAATTCAACTTTCAAACTTCCAGAAATCATCTTTTCGATCATCTCATCAGACGGCAACTCACCGATTGCGCTATAGTACCTCCTCTTGAGATCTTCCTTGTGATCTGCAACAATCTTTTCTCTCAAAGATTGGAAATTGTCCATCATGTCCCTAAGCTTGACTCTCAAGCCACAAGTGATGGACATTCTGGTCCGGTCAACAGTGCTTCCTTCCTTGTACGCATCCGAAATTTTTCTACTGATCACATTGGACTTATCAAGCGCTTCAAGCCTTGCCTTGACAATCCTCGCCTTTCGAAGCACTGCCACCATATCGCATTCCATCCGGTCTCTAAGCCCGCGAAGGATCTTGGCACTGTGGGTGGACTTTGCCTCTTCATTCAGGCTCTGAAGATCATACAAGAGATTGGTGATCTCTTCCATATCGCTCTTGATTGGTGTGACTTCTTGGAAAAACTGAGAGAGGTTTTCTTGGTCTGACGGGTTGAGTTGGCCTTGGCCTGCTTCAACATCAAGATCGGCTTCGAGGTCCTTCTGTGCCTGTTTCTTCAGTTCCACATAACTTAAGAACGATTTAGTCATCAAATCATTCATCTTTGCAAAGAATTTGCAATACCCACCTGCAAAAAAGTCAGAAAAAATTGAAATTTGGACAGGAATGCACTCGTTGACAAAACAAACAATATGAAAATGAAAACCCAGTAGAAACTGAATAGAGATTCACTGAGTATATTACCCTCTCAAATTCAAGAACCGAATCTTCTTCTCAAGAACACAACACTTCTTTGTTACTCTGCTCCAAGAGAACTGAATTTCACACATGAAAATGAGACAGAAATTGAAAAAACTCATCAACGTGAACCAAAAACCATGTAGAAACCACAAAAACAAACAAAACCAATTTCATAAAGCTTCGCAATTTCAAGGTTTGAGGCCTATCAGAGAACAAGAATTAAAGAAAGAAACGAAGAAATAAAAAGTGGGGTTCCGTGAAAACCGTGAAGAAATTTGATGGCTCTGTTTCTATCGCCGACTGTTACTTTCTTATCACTGTCACTGTGATTTTTGACAGTGGGGTTTTGGAAGAAATGTAATCCAAGAACAGAGAAGAAGAAACTCTCCGATGAATGTGCGAGAGAGAGAAAGAGAGAGAGGAGGGATCGCAATCTTTTGGGTTGGTTTTCCTTGTGTAACCGCTTAAATTTTAAATTGCCGTTGACGATATATAGCCGTTAATATTTGTTCTTTAGGAAAGGCGGTAGACATGGACGGCGCCGTTACTGAGGTGTTAGTTAAAACCGTTTTTATTATTTGAATCATTTTTTTTTAATCTTTATCCATTTGTAGAAGAACGTGATATAAAAGATAGTACAACTTTGGTTAAGCTAAAAAAGAAAAAAAATAATTACCCCTTCGTTTTTTTTTTTTGGCCAGAAAATTACACTTTTGTTTAAACTCTACCATATGGAAAAAATAGAATTGAAAAAACAAAAGATTTAAAAAAAACTTTTAAAGTCACGCGCGTAATTTAAAAAAGGCATTTTGCACTTGCAGAAGAGCGTGTGAAGAAGTTAGTCTAATTATTTCCTATTCAAGAGCACAATGAAATGCAAAAATTGAAACATTCCACACGTTGATGAACACAATTTTCGGTCTAAGGAGGATTTACCAATGTCGCTTCTAAACTTTATATCACACACAACACTCCGAAATTATTTACTTTATTTTTTTTTTCTCTTTTTGTTCTACAACATATTCTCTAGGTTCTCTCATGTTCTAGTGCATATTGTATGATGTTACTATTGTGTATAAACCAACACATTTTTAAGCCAAAAGAGGGCTGGATCTATCGCCTGATGAAAGGAAGCGTGTAATATGAATAAAATACAAGGAGAAACCAAAAGGGTATAAAGAACCTAAGCAACAACAACAACAAAAACCCACAAAATTATACAATAAACAACCCTTCATCATTCTGTGTTAATCATGGTAAGAGCTTATCCCATTCAGTGTGCAAGAAGCACTCAAAATAGCCGCGCGGCTGTACTCTTAAATAAGAGTAAATATGTCTAGCAATTAGGAAATGCATTAAACCATATCAAATATGGATTAGAAAATGACTCACCTGTTCGCTGAATGTTTGCCCAAAAAAAAAAAAAGAGTTGCGCTGAATGGGTAAATTGGTACTGGGAAAATAATGGAATAAATATAATTGCAATAAGTTATTAAAAAATAATACGTAATTCACTATCACAGTTTTACATACAATCACACCAATTTATGAAAGATTGTGATTGAATTTTAATTTGTATGAGTATAAATCCAATTAAAATATGCAACAATAATTAATATATACATAATAATTAATAATTAATAATTATGTGAGAACAATATTAAAAAGTGCCAGGAACCCGTCTAAAAATATTTTATTAATTTCTCAAGTGGAGATTATAACTTAAGATTGCTACAAAGACAAAATCTTATTTCCAGACATTTTTCACCCTCAAGCCTTTCAATGTGACACATTACACTTGCATAGTTTCCAGAAACATGTTTCAGAAGTAGCGGCTAGGTTTACACCGGCTGTTGATTCTTCGCCTTCTCCACTTCAAGCCTCCTTAATGTTGTTGAACTAAGCTTATCTCCACTAGATGCTTCAGAAATTAGATCTACAACTTCAATCTGCACAAGATCCACAATTAAGGACTAAGCATCGTAAAGGTTTTCAAAGTAGAATTAAAAGAAGTCTACTTTTGGTAGAGAAAAAGATCAAATGCATAGCAAACAACTCAAACCTTAAGTTGTGAAAGGCCTCTGTCCGCTCTCTTCTTATTAACAGACAGTCCACCGGGCAAAGTCTCCTTGCTGCCAGAAACCAAATCTAGAAAATTAGTGAAGAAGTAACACTCTCTCACCGGTGCGAGGGAGACTCAATAATGAGTTTTATGTCGTATGCAAGCTGAGGTAATTCAACTTATTCCCTTTTTAAAAGGAAAATCAACTAGGGCCAGATCAAAGCCAGACTGATTAGGTTTGAACATTAAACCAGGTGATGATCTACACCAAAACTCCAAAGTAACACATGAACCTCAAGAGTCAAAGGGAGGACAAGCATATCAAGCTTTGCATCTAAATGTTGATGAAGTGCTACTGGGCAACATTATTAGAGAATTAAGAATACTCAAAGAACAGATGTAAATCTGAAACAAACCTGACAACAATTGCCTCCAAATTTTCATCAACTATTGAGGGGCCATAGGGATCCGTAATAGGTTCAACTTGCACTGCCAGCCCCTGCTTGATAGACTGCAAATATTGGCAGGAAATTGAGGACTGAAAGTATCATTATCATTATACATCATAAGATAAGAACACATTTTTTACGGAACAACCAAGCCGCAGCAAAACCATACAGAAATTATTAAATGCATTTCCCCAGATATAGCAAGGTTGATGGTCCATGTGTGTCACCACCTAGTCCAGTTCAGTAACCTTTACCAAAATGAAATACTAGCAAAGGCCACCTGCTGAATCTAGAGACCTAAGTAGATGGGTATGAGCGTGAACATGGTGGTGGAACACATGAACCTATTTCAAACACACAACCTCAGCTACAACAGAATGAGCTGCATTGCTGGCATTTGGATAGATGATTCAAAATGAGGGATAAAGAACAACTCAGTTGCAATTGCTTGCATCAAATGCTCAAAAAAATGATTCAACTAGTGGAATTCACATGGGCATTAGTACTTCTGAAATCTCATTAAACCATTTCTTCTAAAAATGCAAATCCAAAATCTCTTCATTTAGAAACAGTATTCCAGTCACAATGTAAACAATTTCCTTGAACAGAATACCTTGATGTAATTTTCAACATTATGCCTCCTTTCCTCAATGGGTTGTATCAAATCAGCAAACTGCCAGAATGGGAAGAAAAATCACAACATTAATATCAAATCCACTTTATCAACTAACTAAACTGTCTTCCAAATTACTAGTTTAGCACTTACGTTAACCTTATAACTATTCTGGAAAATCATTATCCACTTTCATTTGTTAAAATTTAAATTACAATTCAACTCAAATCCACAAAACTTGTGAAAATCTGAATGATGATCGGAAAAAAAGAACCTGTTTTTTGGTCAACATGGGTCCGTCGCATAGTCCAACCACAATTCGATCCCTTGCCAGCTCCGCCGCTGCCTGGATCCATTTCCGGGCATACCATTAAAATTTTCTTAATGGAATTTTTAGCATCTTAAAATGCACAAACCCAAACAAAAGAAAATGAAGGAGAAAGAAACCTTGAGAAAAAGGCGATGGCCATCGTGTAATCGGTCAAAGGTGCCGCCAAGAACCACGGCCCCATATGTATTCGACGGAGAGAGCTTAGTATTCACCAGCGAATCCTCCAAAGTTGCCATTTTGACGCGCGAGTTTAAACTGGGAAGTGGGTTTGGTGTGGTAGTAGTTAGAGAATGCAAAGACAAGTTTTTAAATTTCTTTTCCTTTGGTAAGAAACGAAAAGTCAATGCTTAAAAATCATTGCTTTTTGTGATATTTTTTGAGATTTTCTATTTAAACCCCACACTTCTCTTAGTTCAACGCGCGAGTTTAAACTGGGAAGTGGGTTTGGTGTGGTAGTAGTTAGAGAATGCAAAGACAAGTTTTTAAATTTCTTTTCCTTTGGTAAGAAACGAAAAGTCAATGCTTAAAAATCATTGCTTTTTGTGATTTTTTTTGAGATTTTCTATTTAAACCCCACACTTCTCTTAGTTCACCCCATGTTCTAATTTAAATTTTCGCAATTTCTAAGAAAACCCCACTATCTTTCCAAACTACCCTTAAATATACTTCAAACTGAAAAAAATAAGAAATAAAAGAGATTTTATATTTAAACCCCACAATTTTTTTTTGTTCATAGCAAAAAAAAACACAAACAAATGGAACCCCAAACCCGAAATTTAATACTTTTGAGAGAAAGAGAACAACTTTACCTCTTTCCAAGTAGAGGAGTTTGTCCTGATATGATCCAATTTATACTTTACCTCTATCCTGATTCAATTTAAATAGGATGTAGAGAAGTTTGTATTTTTCTAAAACTTAATATAAAGAGTGGTGGGGTGTGTGTATAGATGTACTAGGGTTAATTATTAAGTTTGATGACCTTTTTTGTCTTTTTACACAATAATAAAACTTACAGCTTAATGATTTAAGTATTGGGGTGAACAAAGAGAAGTGTGGGGTTTAAATAGAAAATCTCTTTTTTTTGGGGTATGAAATGACAAATCAATACTGAAAAACCAGTACCTTTTTGGCTTAGAAAAATTGTTAAAAAATAATACTTCGAGTACAATGAACCTGGACGTTTTACTAACCAAAGAGCAAGAAGCTTTCCCTAGTTGCAATTATTTGCTCGGTGGAGAGAAAATACAAACAGCTTAGAAACATAAAACATGGTATTCAAATCATCCTGAATTTCCTCGGCACCCAAACCAAATCCAAGTGAAACCAAAAGAACTATAAATTAAAAGCTAAAAATAAGCCGAACCCAGTTCCATTAACTAAACAAATCCCCCGAAAGTCCAACAAAATATCATCTTGATTCAAGAATATGAACAAACAAAAAAAAAAGTTTCAAACTTGGGAGGGAGAGAGAGAGAGACGAGAGCTGACCAGTGAGTTGAGAGTGGTATTCTGAGACGTAAGAATCTACGATGTTTTTAATGCTTTGAAGTTGTTCCGTCTCTCTCTGAAATTGAAGAGCTTTGATTCTTTAGTTTTCAACGTTCGCTTTCTATATGCCAACTGTGGCTAAGTTAACTGTGGCAAAAATGCAACCAACTCAACTAAGAAATAAATATTGAACTTTTCCTCCGATCTAAGCCGACCTCACCGAATCCGCACAAGTCTAAGAAAATTAAAATTAAAGGAATTTGGACACAATTTCTCAGAGTTAATGAAGATAACATCAAAATTTTAATCTTCAAAATTTACAATGAAAAAGACGAAGAATGAAGCTTTACTCAGCAATTTCTTCAGGATGAGGCTCCCTTCTTTCACTTTCCCATAGAAATTGGATGGTGTAGTTGTGAACTTGTGATGGTCTGCCTTGCCCGCCATTTTCATCCTGTGGTTTTTACTTTTTAGGGCTCCATTCACGAGTGGGTCATTTTTCTTTTCTCTGGGCTTCCGGGTATGGGTGGGCCTTTTGTTGTTTCTCCTAATTAATTATCTTTTAAATTTTGAGCAAAAATAATTTTTTTGATTAATTAATACTACCAAGTATTTCAAAAAATATTTTGAGAAATGCACGTCAACGTAACATGTTTTCATCACTTTTCAAATTTACAAAATATTCTTCAAATTGAATACCAAACAGTTTTTGGATTTTTCAAATATGATTGTGATTAGCACTTTTGTTTTACATAAAGGTTGAAACTTTCATCACAAATTTAAAATCTACTTCTACTCTAGCAATACATACACAAGTTTCCAATGTGATATAAACAGTGAGCAGATTTGACAAACAGTAAACCAGTGGGATATGCAAACTTCAGAAGATGCATGAGGCAAACTTCACAAGTTTCCAATGTGATATAAACAAACAATGAATTCTGGCACTCGTATAAAGATTAAGAAAAGTAAATTGTTATCGTCAATTGATTTATAACCTCAAATAAGTTCCTGCACAACACACTGCATTTGCAGAATTTTATGCTGTCGTCTTAGAGGTAGCTAAACAATCTTTCAAGAAACAGTCGAGCTCTGAAGAGTAGATGTTGGGGAAAGTCCTGAAGTGGTCTACATGGGGTGATGAGCCGAAATTGAAGGACCTAACCATTCTACCCTTCCTCCTTTGCTCTGTAATGAACAACTCGATCGACTGATGCGGAACAACTCCATCAGCGGTACTATACAGGTAAAGTTGAGGGCAATAAGGAGTGTTTTCTGAGAGGATAGAAACTACCTTCGACAACCTCCTGCAAGAAAACCAACAGAAAGCAACTTAAGTCAATTGTTTACCCCTTTAATTGAGATGTTCTGCCCATTTTCTTCTACAGCCAATTATATATCAACTATCAAAACAAGATATTGAAACAAATATTAGAACACAGAGTACTTACTTGTCCACATCAGGCAACTTTAGAAGAACTGAGAACAGCTTCTCTAATACCAACAGAACCATGGTTTCAACTATCGGAGGTTTCTCTTCTTGCATCTTTGACAAGCTCACTGCATCTTCAGATTTATTCAGTTCTCTAGCCTCAACTGCGGGGCTTGTTAAAGAGCTGCGTTTCTTCAAGATGGCGACAGAAAAGCCCGCTGCCCACACCTGTCAAGTTAAAGAAGGTTATAGCTCAAGTTCAGCTCAACGAAATAAGTGCAAAACGAAATAACATCCTACTTAATTAGAGACATATAGCTCAACTTCAGCTCATAGTGAAGGTATAATCATAAGAAAAGGCATAGTTGGCCAGTTAGATTAAAATGTACTCCTCTGATCCAATTTATTACACAACTTCCATCAAAACATGGCACACGATTGAGAAACCAAAAAGATAAAAAAAATTCATTGCAGGGTTCTAAGCAAGTCATTTCAGCTTCTACCAAATTGGGGTAATGTCTTATAGAAAACAAATCTATCTGATAAAACTTTGACCAAACAAATCAAAAGCACAATCTAAGCAAAAAAAACTCATCCAATTTTCACAACATTTTACATGGTAATCAACCAATATTTCGAAATGTAATAAAACCATGATTTGAAAGAACCTTAGGATTAAAAGGCTCCGCTGCTCCTGAATCAACAACACATCCTTTAATCTTCTCCATCAGGTCTTGTCTACCCTGAAGAATTTCAAGAATGGCGCCATATCTGCCAAAAAGATCAACAACCTCTAAAAACCCAATTGTTGGCATAAGAGCACAGTACTAACAGAAAGCAAAGATTTACACAGCGAAGACATAAACAAAGAGTACCTACACAAACCAACCCGTATTGCTGAAAGTGTGAAAAAGCAAACACCTTTCTCTCCCATCCTCTACCCTCTCCTCCATCCACGAAACGAGCTCGTGGGCCAAATCCGAAACCCGTTTTTCGACCCGGTGGCCCAAATCAAACCAGAGCACCTCCCTCGCATCAACAACGAAGGTCACGGCGTGAATGCCTCTGGATTTATACCACTCCACATACCTCTTCAGGTGCTTGGTCTTGGCCCCAAGCCAACCCAGCAAGACGACGGTTACTTCACGCTTTTGGGTTCCGAAAGAACCCACATTTCCATTAATGCCACTCTGGAAAGCTCGGTTCCATGTGAAAACGCCGTCGTGTGAGTGCGAGTGAGAGTTGTTGAAGTTGTTGATCAGGAATTGGGAAGAGAGAGAGAAGAGGAGGGATTGAAAGGGGTTTGTATGGGTGGAGAAGGTGAACGAGGACTGTGGCTGTGCGAGAGAAAGAGAAAAGGGGGTTCTTTTGACAACGCCGTTTCGAGCGACAGTGTGAAATGGAAGTAAGGAATTTGGGGGTCGGAGGAGTTTGGGAGAGAAAGTAAGAGCGGACGGCGTCATTTTGGCTAAGACCTGGCGATTGAGACTGAGAATTCTCACTGGAGTTTCCATGGCCCAAGTCTAATGAATCGGATTTTGAAAACCGGTTTGCAGTTCGGTCATAAAACGATCGCAATCACCTGAGAGTAACTAAGAAACGACGCCGTTGACTCAAAATGGCGGTATATTGTACAGAATGAAAAACGACATACCGTTCATGTGATCTCTCCTGGTTTGTGTCTACCACTCCTCCACAACTCGAAACGTACACCAACCACAGAGAAAGCTCAAAACTTTACAAATTACACTCATTTTTGAGAGCCTTCACAACCATTTTCCAATGTCTTCCTCATGTGCCGTTCTGCCTTCAGCTAGAACAGAGCTCTTCAACCCAGTGCATGAAAGCAGGTTCATTGCATCTACAAGACCATTTCAGTGCAACAGTAAGTTCATTCACTTTATCTTTCTATCAAATCAAGAAAAGTTTCAATTTTTATTCTGGCTTGTGACTGATGAGTTTGTTGCTCTACTTGGAAGGAAGCAAATGTGTAATGAGCAGGAGGGGTTTTGCTTTTAGAGGAGTTGCAGCTTCAGGACTCTCAGTTGTGGGCTCTTCTTTGACTACTCAGCCTGTTGAAGGTTAATCAATCTCTTTGCTTGTTCTTTTTGTTTTTAGAACAATTCCTGCGTTTAATTTGAATTAAGTGGGAATGTTTTTTCACTATAGGTGTTGAAAGACTACCGTTCAAACCGGAGGGGTACAATTTTTGGACATGGAGGGGTCACAAAATTCATTATGTGGTGCAAGGAGAAGGGCCTCCTGTTGTTCTTATCCATGGGTTTGGTGCTTCTGCATTTCACTGGAGGTTTGCTATTTTATGACCCTCACCTTCTATTTTCCCTTCAATTTATATGTCAAGTAAAATTGAAGAAACCAGGGGGAATTTCCTCTTTGCTTCTTTTGCTTCTGTGATTAAAACCCAATTGTTGTCAACTTGTTATAAAGCCTTAAATTGCAGGGAATTGGTTTTTCTTAACACTTAAATCTTAATTTTCCATTGAATGTGTTATTAGCTACACATTAATGTTAATGGTGGCTGTAAGTGTAGTATACTTTAATGCTGATAAGTTTTTACTCTCTCCCATAATACAGGTACAATATACCAGAGTTGGCTAAAAAATACAAGGTTTATGCTATAGACTTACTGGGGTTCGGGTGGAGTGAGAAAGCACTTATTGAATACGATGCCATGGTTTGGAGGGATCAAGTCGTGGATTTTGTGAAGGAGATAGTGAAAGAACCAACAGTTTTAGTTGGAAACAGGTAATCTAAACTTTATTTGGTTACATATGGTATCTTTAATAATTCATTTGTAACTAAGTTAGAAAACTTCAAAGAAACGTGAATGGGGATGATCACGACTTTTGAACCATCAAACTATGTTGTCTAAATGTACCAGCTTAAAACCTGAGTTGAGGTTTTCCTGAACTTATCCAATTAAGAACTTCACTCTGGCACCTGTTCACAAGAGGCTAATTTTCTTTTAGTTCATTGTTGCAAGCTGGACAATGTGTTTATTATCATGTTTTCTTTTGAGATGGCAGTTCAACTAATGATTATATGACTCGCTGTAAATTTTCAGCCTTGGAGGTTTTACAGCTTTGGTTGCAGCAGCTGGGTTGCCTGAGCAAGTAATTGGAGTTGCACTCCTCAATTCTGCAGGACAGTTCGGAAATCCAAATACTGAAGCCGAGAAGTCTGAGGAGGAAACAGCCCTGCAGAGGTTCATCCTAAAGCCCCTGAAGGAAATTTTCCAGCGGGTGATACTTGGATTTTTGTTCTGGCAAGCAAAGCAACCAGCTCGAGTTGAATCCGTCTTAAAGAGTGTAAGTCTCTTTCTAGTCTTCTCCTTGAAGTCTGAGAATATATCATCCTTAGTATGTAAAACAAATGAATTAGCAAGCTTTTCTACCATTCTTGCAACTAATCTCACAGATATAAGGGCAGTTTCATCCCAATCCCCAGTATATTGCAAGTCGCCATTAACCCTCTTGCAATCATTGTAAAAGAGCCCTCCCACATTCATGATAAATATTTTGACTGTATGTTTTAAGTACTTATTTTTGCCAACGCAGGTGTATAAAAATACCTCCAATGTGGATGACTACCTGGTGGAATCCATAACAATGCCAGCAGCTGACACAAATGCTGGAGAAGTCTATTACAGGTATGTGGAGATCTGATCGTCTCTCTTTTAGTCTTTCACATGAAAGCATCTAATATAGATGCACTGAATAAGAATGATGCAGATTAGTGAGATCTTGAAAATTTGGTCATGAACATTGGTGTCTAAGTCCTTCCTATGTATGTTGTTTTCTTATTTGTTTTGTGCAGATTGATGACCCGGTTCATGACAAACCAGACCAAGTATACTCTAGACAGTGTCTTAAGCAAGATGTCTTGCCCGCTGTTGTTGATATGGGGTGACTTGGATCCGTGGGTAGGTCCTGCCAAGGCCAACAGAATCAAAGAGTTTTATCCAAATACAACTTTGGTAAATCTACAGGCCGGGCACTGTCCACATGATGAAGTTCCAGAGCTT